TTTGACTCACAGGTCTGAGTGACGACCAAACGTGTGACAAAGACTACATCAAACGGCCTGAGGATGTGTTCATCCTTTTCCAACACAAATCCCACTCACAGAATAATGAGGTAGAGGCAGCTGGTGGTGTAGAGGTTGGGACTGTAGAAATAGCGTATTATTTCCTATTTTTGTATTCTATAATTTAAATATAATTATATTTGATTAATTATTTGATATAAATTGTATAGTAAGCAAAAGAAAGCTATTCAAACACTTGTAATGACTTGTAAGCATTATAAGCAGATATTATACTGTCACAAATTAATAAGTATGTCTTAACCTTGTAATCTAGACAGTATATTATAATCACTTGTATAACTTGACAATTTATAAAATTATATTGGAAATTGCCAAGTTTTAAAAGTATTTTTTCTTGCTTATTTAACATTGTACTTTCCTTGCTTAACCCCCCAGGAAGATTATAAGTAATTGGACAAATTTTATAAAATATATAAAATATACAAGATTACAAGCAAGTATAATACTTAAGACTTTTTCGTGATGCAGAAGAAAGTCTTTCTGGCTCTATGAACCTTTATGTTGTTCACTTGGGTCCTATTTTGCTTTAGAACATTGGCCTTCCAGAATCCAAAAGTTAAAAACAAAGGAACACACTGACATGGGTGTGACATGTACAAAGGACTGCAGTTACGACCTCGTGACTTTCTTATTTCCTCGTGACCAGCCTTGCCAGATCGCGGTGCCTCAAGTACCTGCGGTGAGTTCGCCACTGTTTCAAGTCTCGACTCCTATCCTGTTGGCACGTCCCATCTATGTCTGGCAGCCGGGACATTGAGAGTGGGAGTGAATACAAGCCGCTTGCCGTCTCGGAAGCTTCGGCAGAGGATGAAGCTTTGTTGAATGAACACAACTCGTTTACTGACGTTGAGCGGCCCACGACCTCCTCGCGCGCGACCAGTGGAAGGTTCAGCTACCTTCATCTTGGACTCGCGTTCGTTGGAGGAATTTTCATCTCTCTATGCACTGCAGCTCTGTTCCCCTCTCTTTGCTACCCTTTTTCCTTATTTTCTGGGACCACCGATGGTTTGGACAGGATTGGTATAGCAGCACCAACGCATGTCGGCTCAACGGAACGTCATGACTACCCGCCCGTATCTCCAACTAATGGACAGACATCTCTATTTCCTACGGACATTGGCTTCGCCGGTCCCACTCCTACTGGCGCAGAGCCCGCTGTCGTAGCAACGGCTCCATCTTATCCCTTGCACACAGGTGCACAGGTGCTCGTCACTCCAACGCCGAAGGATGGAACCAAGAGTTCAAAGAAAGGCGAATTTGAAGTATTCAAGAACTGGGGAAACCTTTCACCCTGGTACAGTGTTGACCGAGGCGTATTTGGTGTGGATTCAAGCGCAGAGGCACCAGACCAGTGCGTGGTGAAGGGGTTGCATTTCTTGCATCGACATGGTGCACGATATCCAACGGCATTTGGTACGTCTGTTGTCTTTCTGTTTTAGATTGCATTTCAATGTTTCCTACTTGCATTCAGCATCCTATGGCGGCCCAGCCAACTTCTCAGCTCGCCTACATGAGTCTGCAGAAGGATGGAACGGAACCGGCGAGCTTGACTTCATGAACGACTGGTAAATTCTCCCAGTTGCTTGTACTGCACTGCGCTAAACATATCCAGGACCTATAAATTAGGCGAAGAGAGTAGGTACTGTCTTGTCTTGCAAAGTGACACCCACTGATCTTTTCTGCCAGTCTTGACTCCCTTCGGCCGCCAGCAACTTTGTAGGCTCATTTCTCTCAGTCAACGTATATTATTACCTCATACTTATCCTGCATCATAAAAGTTGACCTTGGCGTGTCGCTTCGTCTTAAGTACGGTTACCTGCTCAAGGTCAGCTCTCGCCAAAATAAGCTGTTCGATACTTTTAACGCCCTTCCAGGACTTCACCGAGTCGAACAGTTTGCCAGTGTTCCGCACCGAGTCACAGTATGAATTCTTCTGCGCACTGCTGATCGTTCTACTGACGCGCAATCAGGGATCGCATGTTACATTCTGCACTCAACTTTGCGGTGGGGTTCTTCGGGCTTCCAATTGAAGGGAAATATCTCCAAAGTGTCACTATCGAGGAATTAGGGGTATATCTTTTTTGTTGTGCTCTCTGGAGTATTTCTTGATGCAGTTATCAGTACAATAACACACTCGCTCCGTACAAGACGTGCCCGAATGCTCGTGACCGGACGAAATCTGATCGTGGGATCCCGTATGTCCGTGAATGGGCATCAATATATCTGAAGAATGCACATGCTCGGTTAGCTCCGCAGTTAAAGGGCTACGATTTGAGCATCGAAGATGTCTACATCTTCCAGCAGGTGCGTTGAAATGCTGTCATTCAGAGCAAATCAAGAACTAATTGTAGTGTTAGTTTTGTGCATATGAGGTATGCCTTGTGTATAGTTTAGTACGCGGCTTTCGTTTACAGCTGTTCAGACAGTCGCCATTGGCTATAGTAAGTTCTGCGAACTCTTTACTGAAGAGGAATGGGAAGGCTTCGAATATTCTCTGGATCTTTATTTCTGGTACGTGTATCTCACAACGTTAACAGGCTTGTGTCTTATACACATCGTAGGTACAATTCTGCCTTCGGCTCACCTGTTGCAAGAGTTCAGGGCATTGGATATATCCAAGAGCTCGTTGCACGTCTCACTCACACACCCATACAAATACACAACTCTTCGACAAACGCTACACTTGACGACGACCCTCTTTTCTTCCCACTCGACCAGAGCTTATATGTCGACGCGACTCACGAAGTAGTCATTTTGAATATACTCACTGCACTTAACCTTACGAGCTTCGCTGCGATCGGTCCTTTGCCAGCTGACCACATACCCACGAATAGAAGTTTCATTGCTAGTCAGCTCGCACCGTTCGCGGCGAACATGCAGTTCCAACGTACGTTCATGTTCCGTATTTGTTTTACTGTTATAGTGACATTTCAATGGTGATGATGTCCAGTGCTTGAATGCATCGGGATGGATGGCGACCAGATTCGAATCATCTTGAACGACGGAGTTGTCCCGCTAACTGGCATTCGCGGCTGTCCAGACCAGAAAGATGGCATGTGCCCTGTCGATACCTTCGTCAGGGCACAGCGCGAAATCATCCAGGAAGTGGACTGGATATACGAATGTCACGGAGACTGGACGGTACCACCTGGACCAGCGTGGAATACAACGACGGGATCTCCACCATCGAAGCCGCGATAAAGAGCTTTCACATTAATCAAGTTCTTCGCATTTTTAATTTATAAAGATCATAGGTTGCATCACCTTAGAGTTTCCCCTTTGATTACATCGACGACAATCTTTTACACAGATAACTCAGAAGCGGGCACTGGCTAGCAGGTTGTTTTATAATCGTAGGAAGTCTTACGCAGGAATATGGTACTAACAACGCTTGCTGGGATGGAGTCCACGACAGAATCGATGTCCATTGATAATGACTCTGCAAACTAGAGACATGTCGCTGGACCGTCAGAATGATAGTAATGCTTATGGGCTATTACCTAGTAGTTCCGCTGATGGGTGTACGCTTGGCTTCACTTTGCTTCGGTACTGCTCGCACTTAACACTCAGGAGACACCAATCTGTTGACTGGTAAGCCACGAAACAGCGATCCAATCGACTCAGAGCTTCATACATCTGGAAAGCTTCCACCACTGGTTCTACGACCTAGGACGGCAACTTTGAACTAGTTTCGTCAAGTTTACCTCTTCTCCACATTGCTTAAGTACAACAGTTTGCATGCCGCTTTCTTGATGACTATCCAAAGCATTTGGTCTCCGGCAAAATTGGATACCCTGGTCAGGAGATGAGCGCTGTCACCAGACTTTTCTTGAACAGGACAACTCTCGGGACTGACTAATACGTTTTTGGTGAAGGTGCTGTCGGACAGAAGTGTAATGGCTACAAACTCTTACCCAAGTTCACTCTCTTCTGCAATTAGGACGTCAAAACCTGCATTGGCACCATTTTCTGTGTTCCATTGTCACAATGTTGCATCCTTGAGGTAGGTGTGGACCAGTCGTGTAAATGTTTTAACTTTGCTGTATGTGGGGGAAAAGACCCTGTTTTCAGGACGAAGCCAACATATGATCTTGCAAAGTGCAGGCTCGGATAACATATAACGACAGAATTAATTAATCAAATGGAACAACGGAAGGGTCGGGGCCAACAGCTATTGGACTGAAACGACAAAAGACCTCCATTTGGTCTGGCTATGACTTGGTACTTCAACATGGAGAAAGAAAAAGAAGAGCTAGTCGATGAATACACTGACAGACAATGGCGAAATGATTTCGTTTGGAGGACACTCTTTGAACGTGGGTCTCCTCGGTCAGAGTTCTTATCCATTTATATAGTAAAGAATGCTAAGTTTAATGCAAATTACACTAATTTAAATTTATAAATATATTGATATTCTTTCGATAAGTGCAACTAATAGAGGTGCATTGTACATGTACAATGTTTATCACTCTAACTGCAGATCATACTGCATGCTGTTGCATGATTACTGTCGTTTTCATAAATATTGTCACACGTGCAATTCGTGATTTTCGTCACACTAAGTACACTCAAATACAAAATCTACTATAACTCAACTAATACTTAACCAAATTACATGATCTAAGTTGTAAAAATTATACTTTTGAAGTGTCTTTCATATTCCAGAAAAAATGAAGTAAAATGAGCAAAACTTGAGCAAGATACAACACAATATGTGAGTTTTCCCTATATTTCATGTATATGAGTTTTCCTAGCCCTAAAACTGATTGTACAATACTATAAACTAGTCTAAATGAAGAATATAGCTTTATTATTAATTTACATATTGAATTCTAACTAGGATACAGAATATACATATAAGTATAATACATATTTAAGTTTGCTAAAATTGAGCATTTTCCCCCAACCTCTCTACACTCAGGGAAGGTTCTTCTGAGTATTATTCATGTTTGTAAATTTAGTATAAACAAAAT